TTTTTTCTATAGTCCCAAGTGGAGTGAACCCAACGTTCGCGAGTCCACGGGAAGTCCGCCCACGCCTCCTTGACCATCGGCCAGAAGTCACACTGCGTTAGTCGGGCGAGTCGAGGTCTGTCCCAAGACGAAGCCTCCGCAGCGGGCGCGCGGGCCATGATCAGTGGAGAACTGGTTGAAAGCACGCGTCCGTCGCGCAGCGATGCCACTGTCGCTCACAGCGCCAAATGCCAGTCTGCCGCCCGCGACGTAGTCGACAAGACAACCGGCACGAGAGAACTTTTGACCTCCGATCGCACACCAGCGTCGCCCACGGCTGCGCTGTCCGAGCGCGAGGGGTGGCCGCGCACGCCGGGGTCCGCTGGAACCAGGCCGTCTACTTCCTCGGCCTGGGCCGGCGGTTCCATGGTCCCACTGGCTGGCGCGGACCACGAAGGTGCCAGTGAGCTTGCCGGAGCGTCCGCGCTTGTCGGGGAAACAACGGCGTCGTCCTCGTGGCCCGCCCACCTGGGATGTTGGACCAGTTCGCTCGCGGGGCTCTCTGCGCCCTCATGCGTCCACCCGCTGCCGCAGTGCTCGACCGGGCCCAAACTGTAGCGGTCGGGCGACGCAAACCGCAACGGCGCAAAGCAGCCGTTAGCAAGAAGGCGGCGCAGGGCAAGCCCGTCCTGTCCCTCTGGATGTGGGATGCTGTCGTCAGGCAACGATTGGTCGGAGTAGTGTAGATTCAATTATCCTTCCTCCTCGTCCCTCCCAGGTCTCTGGGCGCCATCCGTTTCGTCCTCATCCGCTTATGATTGGGAGGGGAATCCACATGAACGGAAAAGGGGCAATGGTGAATCCAAACTTTGCCGCCCTGGCTCCCCAATGGGTTTCCTACACCCCGCATCGTCCAAAAAAAGAGCGCGCAAGGCACGCACAGGATCCAAAAGATTGGTTGTGTAGCGTCGACAAGATTGGTGATGTAGCAACATCCAAGACCGCCTCCCCGAACCCCCCGTCGACGCCCATTTCCGTGACCACGTCGACGGCCTCCTTCATCTCGACGTCCCCCTCCTCCTCCTCCTCCATGGCCACCTCCTTGTCGCCCTCCTCGCCATCCTCATCGCACGTGTCATCGAAATCGTTCCTGACCTCCTCCACCTCCTCCCCGAATTCCGCATCCTCGTCGACCCTTCCGATGCCCACCCACACGACCTCCTTCACCTCGTCGTCGATGTCCCCCTACACTTCCACGCCCTCCTTGACCGAGCCGCCACTGACAGGGCCAGCTGTCACCGCCACTTCCTGCACGCGCTGATCGGAGTGCTGCAGCCAATGATGGCGGGCTGCATCACACCCAACACCTCGCTGCAAAAGCGCCAGAGCTATCGCCCCTGCCTGTCCTTCTCGCACGCGCTGATCGAGGTACTCACTCCCATTATCTGTCGGAGCGGCACCAAGGCCAGCTGCCACTGCCACACACGCACACGCACACACGCGCACACACATAGGCACACACACACATTTTTGGCGATAGCGGCCTCGCGCGCGGCGACGAGGCGGAGTAAGCGTAAAGACAATGCGCGCGGCGGCCATGCCCTCAACATCACTTAGGACGCGGTCCTACCTTCATCAACAATCTGGGCGTGGATGGCGGGAAGGAAACACACCCCAGGAGAGGTCGCGGGGTCGTCTTCGTCGTCGTCGTCGTCGTCGTCGCCGGCGGCGGCGTCGGCGTCGGCGTCGGCGTCGGCGTCGCCGTCGGCGTCGGCGTCGGCATCCGCGTCCGCGTCGGCGTCGGCGTCGGCGTCGGTGTCGGCGGGGGCGTCGTCGTCGTCAGCCCTTCTCCTGCTCCCTCCTCCTCCCACACACACACAAACACAAACACACACACACACACACACACACACACACACAAACACGTACACATACACACACACACACACATGTTTGCGTCGGCGGCTAGGAAGAGTGACTGCGCTGGCGGGTGGGGCTAATTAAGCCGCGGTCACACACACACACACACACACACACACACACACACACACGCGCGCGCACAAATCCTGGGCCGAGGACTGGCCTGGCCAGGGTCGGCGCTGGTACATATACTCGACTCGCCTCTCTCGGCCCGCCTCACGACGAAGCCCCACCAAGCACAGCCTCGCCCCACGCCACACCAATCTCGCTGCGCGCGACCTGCGAAGCAGGCGGGAGCTGGAGGGAGTGGGGTGGGAGGGAGGAAGGGAGCACAGCGACAGCGAAAAGGAAGACAACAATGAGCAGAGCAGCCCCGAGCTCCCCTCCCAGAAAGCATCGGTCCCCTCGGATACCTCCAGCCTGTCTGGCGACAATAAGGACGTGACTCGCTCGCTCCTTGCGTTCTCGAGGTGTGCTCCAAGGAGGAGGCGGAGGAGGAGAAGGAGGAGGAGGAGGAGGAGGAGGAACAGCAAAACTGCGCCCGCGGTAGCAGGTTGAGGGGCCGCTTGGGGCAGGTTGAGGCGCCCGCTGTCCTCGGCCCCCCCCACGGTCACTGCTCCCCCCGCCCCGCCGCCGTCCGCCCGAGCTCCCTCCGCACTCCCGCCCCGGTGGCCTTCTAGCCACGCAGGGGGCACAGCGGCTCCGAGAAGGGCCTACCTCGCCAACGGCATCTGCGCCTTGAGCCCGAAGGGGCTTTCCGCGAGAGCCGAGAGGTCGGACCGTGGCGAGCAGGCTGATGGGCCGATTTTCGACCACCACTACCATAGGTAGGAGGAAGAGGACGAGGAGGAGGAGGAGGAGGAGGAGGAGGAGCTCCCCATCGGCCCTACTCCCCCGTCCTACCTATATGGTAGCAGTGGTGGAAGATTTTCCCATCACAGGCTGCCCTCGGACAACACGGCCGCCTGTCTGGCGCGTCGCGCCCCTGCGAAGCGCGACGCGCAGTCCTGCTCGCGCCCTCGAGGGGCCACTTCTGGAGAAGTGCGGCTCTCCAGCCTGGCCGCGGCGCGCGTTCGGAGAGCATCCACCGTGCCTGGACCCTTTCGGGTCGTGCGTCGTCGGACGCCCTCTATCTGCACGGCGAACGACACAGGTCCTGCCTGCCTATGAAGACCACGTGACGAATACATACCGGTGCACAACCACAGCAGCCCTCTGGGCACAAGTGGGCCAGCGAGATCGCTTTCCCAAACCTCTTCTTCCACTTCGAGAATGGTGTAACCCTTCTACGACCCCTCCCTTGGAGTCGGGACCAGGATTTCACTAGGAGTCAGAGGGTCCATGTTGGCCCAAGAGGGCCCCGGATGGCTTCCGACACGGAACAATACAGACCAAGACGGCTCAAGATAGCATCCAAGAGGCGCTGAGACCGCCACGAGGCAGCTCCATGTGACATTGAAGCCTCCCAAAAACGCCCCCGAGAAGCCAAAATATGTGTTGTATGAGACATGTATCTACAAAACTAAATGCATATATATATATATATATATATATACATATATATATATATATATATGTATAGAGATTGCTGGCCGTCTCGCCTTATCGCTGCCGATGAGCGTCGGAGGCCTCAAGATGGCTCCAGGAGTGCCCAAGAGATCCCCTACATGGGGCAAGACAAGCTCCAAGAGCGCCAGAAGAACGTGCCAAGAAGGCTCAAAGAGGCGACTGTTCGGGCCCAGGCGGGGGGTGGGCAAATCATGCCACCCACTCTGTTGATCGATGCATCCAGGACGGACTCCCAAGAGACCGACCGCCCGGAGGACTTTGAGATTTCCGGGCAGGGCCCCAAAATAATCCCACAAGCCCTTTAGGGCGTAGGTGGTCTAGCGTGCCTTGTCTTTCATTTATCTGCCCCTCTTCCCCTTCGGGCGGGGTTCATCACTGTTCCTTAATAATATACACCCCCTCCCGCAGGCGACCGGCGTCCAACCAGGAACCAGGAGGATACCATGAGGGCCAGCCCCCCACCATCCCGGTCAAAAAAAACCATACAAACCGCACTCTGCCTCTACATTTGGAGCATGCGCGGCCAACCCGATGCGCCCCACCACCGCCATCCCTGTCAAGAAACAATGCAAAATACCGTGGGGCAAAATACTGAGTCATGTTCGTGAGGCCCGCGAACACTGTGTACAATTTTGGACCAGGACGGCGGGGGTGCCAGCATATTTTTTGCCGTGCGCAGGCCTATCACCCCTGACAAAAAGCAATACAGCATGCACCCCGCGGCTAAATCTGGATCGCGCGCGGCCATCCCGCGATCACTGTCAGTGGTTTTTGACAGGGACGGCGGGGGTGGTGGCGCGTGGCCTGCTGTGCGAAGGCCCACCAGACACAATGACGGGCACTGACTTTCGATAAGGATGGCCTGGCACGCGTGGCGAACCTCGCCCAAGCGTCGCGCATCTGGGGTCGGCTTCGGTTTCCAGCAGCTACCCGCTTGAAGCTGGTCGGGAGGCCCAACCAAATGCTTCGCCTAAGGCGCAGTATACGTCAAACCCAGTTTTACCATACCAACGATAGTCGCAAAAGTAGGAATGAGCCGCGGGCGCGGCGATACATCTCAAGCGAGAGGGATGATGCCTTTTCGGTCTCGACGCATGGTAGTGCGCCTCGGAAAGGCACAATTAAATGGGCGACTGGTCGCTGGGCCGACATGGCCGCGAACAAACGCTTTCTACATCTCGCCTTTGCCCGGCCCCCTTTTCACAGTCGGGCGAGGAGAAGACGAAGCGCGAGTCCGCTACCGGCCTCATTAAGCAAAACAGCTATGGCACACAAGGTAGGCAGCAGCAGGAAAAGACAATAGCTGCAAATGAAAGATTTTCTTGGCGAGAGATGATGCGCGTTTCCTCAATTGAATTCGAGCTCTAGGCCAGCTGCGGAGCTGAGATGCACGCCAATCGACAGGGAATGCTGAGAAGCACCAGTCTAAAGAATCTAGACGCCTGAGATCGGTCTGCCACCAGAGCTACGACCAAGAAATTAATTGCACCCCTTCATGTTTGAGAGACCTTGTTGGATTTATGTAGTTAAGTCGGGTTATAGGAAAGCTAGGGAGCTGAGAAGCACACCGCTCGACAGGAGATCACCAGACACAGTCTGCTGCCAGAGCTGGGACCAACCAGAAAATACATGTTGCGAGTGTCCAAGCAAACTGGGAGCCGGCGGTAAACCGTCAACCTTGTTTTTTTACTGCGCGCAGAGACACAGGGCTGAGTTCAGGCCCGCTCGAGTCACAGCCTAACGCAGATGGGGCTAAACAGGCCGAGCGCCTGAAGGACAGCCACCACACCTTTCAGGGAGTGCTTTGCAGCAAGAAGTTCAGCCGGGGCCACTGCACACGAGGGCGGAAGACGAAAAGGCTTCTGAGGCAACACTGCACCACCAGAAACCGCTCGGAGAAGCGGAGCCATCCAGATGACTAAAATGAAGAAGAGGTTGGAAGAATGCACAGATCGAGAACCGAGCCGCCGCCGCAACCAGCAGAGGAACGGCCCCCATTAAAGAAGCCTCTCACTCCGAGAACGTTCGAAGCACTCACTGTTGATGATCTGCAGCTGGGGTAGCCCACACTGCCCCGAAACCAGCACCACCGACGTCGCGCCAGTGAACAGGCAGGCAATGGTATCAGACTAAAATCAACCTACGAGTGCACACATACTTGTGCAAAATAACACTGCACACATCTCTCACGAGCCCCGCAAGCGGGGAGCGAAGGAAAGCCAGCGGGAGAGCGGGGGAGCCCAAAGAGACAAAGCGAGCCCAGGGGCGAAAGCAGCAAGGAGGAGAGAGGAGCGAAGAACCGCAGGGACTCAATCACAAGCATACTCATATAACGCCGCCAAACAATGACCGACCATTTTGGACTGAAAGTGGTCGGTTTCCCTTTTCTCTCTCACTCTCCGCTCCCATCGAAGCAGTCGACACACTCTGTAGCCGCACTCATAGAACTGCGGGGCAACACCGTGCGACCTGACGCCGTACTCACAGGGTCCATCACAGACCACAGGGCACGAAGTCGGGCTACAACGCGGAGCGCCACACCGGCCCCGCGATATCCAAGAGAGCTTGAACAAGTACGGAGACCTTACGCCGATGGGCAAGATCGATTCGCTCCTCAGTGGAAATGTAATGTAGGCAATGGCACATGTCAGGGAAGTGACCATACACCAGGGGTTCCGCACAGGCTTGCACGAAAGCATCCCGCTCCTCGTGGGGGCACTGATGGCAAGCTCCTAAGAAGTCAACAACCCAAGCTCTCTGTGCATTCACGGACTCCTCGTCACTCGAGTCGACATCGTCTCCTTTCGGAGACAAGCCCAAGTATGCACGCAGCACGCTTGAGTCCACATGCGGCCGCGGCAGGAGAGAATGAACCACATGATCCGCCGTGGATGCAAGCACTGGCGGGGTCTCCGCAACAGGCACCTCTCGTCGGAAACAGTACCGATTGATACGCATGGCTTGGGGGTCAATCGCAAGCGCAGGAGGATGAACCGAGCAACTCGCATCCGAAGCGGGCACGCCGGGAACGGCATCAGGGGTGGGATCGGCACCGCTCACTCTAGCACCTTCCGCCTCCACGGCAGCACCATTCTCAGACACATTGGGAGAAGACGGTGAAGGCATCGTAGCGCCCATTGTCGCAAGATTGACTGAGGCGCTCGCATCCGACACTAAGGCATCGGGAACGACGTCAGGCACAGGCTCAACAAAAGTCACTCGAGCATCATCCACATCCAAAGCAATACCACTCTCAGACACGTGCGGAAATGATGAGAAGTCGTCGCAACGCCCGTTGCCGCCAGCTGGACCGAGGCACTCGCATCCGAAACTGATACGTCGGGAACGGCATCAGCGACGGGATCAACCCCAGCCACTCGAGCATCCTCCACCATGGCAATACCACTCTCAAGCACATTCGGAAAATGATGGGAAATCGTCGCAACGCCCGCTGTCGTTGCAGGAGAAACATACATCGGGGAGGAAGGCCCCACACCTGGTGTCGAAGAAGCTCGAACGCCTGCCCACGGAGCCGTCCCAGCAGGGCCGCGGTTACGACAGTAACGAGGTGCGACGATATCGGCACGACAGAGGCCAGTAAAATCCCCCACCTGACACGACGAAGACGTGGAACAGAACCAGAAACGGTGCTTCACCTGTCTAGCACGTGAACGACGCCGTTGCGAGGGCGGCGCCTTCGTGACGGGCGCCCCCATCTGCTCACATGTCAGGGTCCCAACACGAGCATACAAGTCATTCACACACACTTCGAGCACAGACAAACGTGAAGAGAGAAAATCGGATGCCATGCAATCCATGCGCTCTGAAACAAAATCAGAAGTCATGAAATCGGAAACAAAAAGCCATAGGATTTATACTCGTAGGGTTCACCGAAACGAATTCTGAAGCCATAGGATTCATACTCATTGCGGACCACCACAACAACGAGGCAAGTCACAGCAGAAAACGTCTCCGCAAGATGCGGCAGCAGCTGCACTGTAAACTGGGCCCGATCCAGCAACCGTACCACACAAGCGCACGAGCACCTGCTGACCTGGAAGAGCAAGCCGATGTCAGAACTCGTAGAGCTTCCTGACGGAGATGTCGTAGGACTCGCCCAAGCAGCGGCCGCCATCGCAAGGGGTACCGAGGCCCGAGGAGGGGGAAGAAAGACGGGCGGCCGAGGGCGGGGGAGCGCGGCGGGGGGGGGGGGGGGGCAAGGAGTTCCCGACGGCACCAGGCAGCCCGAAGTCAACCTTGGTTTTTTGAGTTTGAGTCAGGGCGCGGGCAGCTGTGACAGCTGAGCCCTAAGACTCCCAAACGGAGCACAGGATAGCTAGAGAAGGCATATCTTATCATCACACTGCCGAGCCACTGAAGCATAGGCATCGGAATAGGGTGCAGGAACAAGGAAAAGGACGCAGCACGACATATGAAATTGCAAAGGTGTAGGAACAGGTTAGACCTGAAAGAGGCTACCCAAAACGTGCACCACGGCCATACAGAGCCGTTGCGCTGCAAACATCACACAGAACACGACAGAAGCAGAGGCATCAAGCGATTCCTCCGCCACCAACAGCCACGCCCCGTGCACACACAAACCTAAACACCATTATGCAGCACATCCCTCCACAGAGCGACCTCCGTCGAAGAATCCACGGAGGCCGTCTAGTTTTGTTTTGCTCGCATGTTCAATAAGAGAAGTATGGAATACAACGTAACAGGTTCTGGTTCTGGCCAACCATGTCAGAGCGGGAAGGCTGGAGGGGGGAGAAGAGGGGCGATGATGACGACGATCAAAGAGAGGAGAATGAGGGGGAGGAGGTAGAGGACGAGAAGAAGAAAGAGGAGAAGGAGCAAATGAAGGAGGAAGAGGAGGAAAAGGATGAAGAGCAGAAGGGGCAGGAGGAGGAGAAAGAGGGGAGAGGAGCAAGAAAAAGAAGGAGAAGGAGGACGCGAAGGAGGACGGGAAGTGGGGGGGGAGAAGTTTCGAGAAGTGCTTATCAGCTTCTTAGCCAGCCCACCGCTCAGACGAAGTGGAGACAAAAACGATCATCTCAGAAAAAATGCAGAGTACGAATAGTTTGTCGGGCCCAGCCCTGGTAGCAAACCGATCCCAGACGCCGAGATACTCAGGAATAGCGCGTCTGGCGAGGTTTCTCCGACTGCTGCGCCAAACACCTGTGCAGCTCATCTGCAGCTCGAGTTACATCGAGGAAGCCATCATCACCTCGTTGTCCCAACCATCCTGTGGTGTTGGGTCCTCGTTTTGAAGAAACGGTCCCCGCGTCTCCTCTCCTCCCCCTCTCCTCCTCCTCCTCCTCCTCCTCCTCATCCTCCTCCTCCTCCTCCTCCTCCTCCTCCTCCTCCTCCTCGCACCATCATCATCGTCATCACCCATTTCGGCACACCCCTCACACGCTTCGTGGCCCCATAGGGAGCTCCACCGAAGGTCCCAGTGGGCGTGCCCGCACGCGTCCCGCACACCCATTTTGGCACACCATTCACACGCTTCGTGGCCCCATAGGGAGCTCCACCGAAGGTCCCAGCAGACGTGCCCGCATGCGTCCCGCACACACATTTCGGCACACACCCCACACGCTTCGCGGCCCCATAGGGGGCCCCACCGAAGGTCTCAGCGGGAGTGCCCGCATGCGTCCCGCACACCCATGTCGGCCCACCCCTCGCACGTTTCGTGGCCCCATAGGGAGCTCCACCGAAGGTCCCTGTGGGTGTGCCCGCATGCGTCCCGCACACCAATTTCGGTACACCCTTCACACGCTTCGTGGCCCCATAGGGAGCTCCACCGAAGGCCCCAGTGGGTGTGCCCGCATGCGTCCCGCACACCCATTTCGGCACATCCCTCACACGTTCCGCGGCCCCATAGGGAGCCCAACCGAAGGTCCCAGCGGGTGTGCCCGCATGCGCCCCGCACACCCATTTTGGCACACCCTTCACACGCTTCGTGGCCCCATAGGGAGCTCCACCGAAGGTCCCCGTGGCGCAGTCCGCTTGCGTCTCTCCCACCCAGTACACCTCTGCCGGAGGCCGTCGGAGTTCCGCGCCTCGCTCGCCCGTCGTGGCTCTGCCCAGCGGCAAGAGCCTTGCCAGCTATCAGCCAGCCAGCTAGCTCTTTTTGCTGCGCGCAGCGGACGACCCGCGCGCGTCGCTGGGACCCCTCCGGGGCGACCTGCGCGCGTCGCTGGGACTCCGCGCTGCGCTGCGCCCGCAGCTTTGGACTTTTGCTTGCGCGGGCAAAGAGGGAGTAAAAGAAGGGGAGGAAGCGGGCGCGACCCTCGCGGTGGCGTCGCGGCGCGCGGGCGATGCCGTCGGGGAGCCCCGGGGAAGCTCCTTGCGGCGGCCACGCCCAGCGTCACGAGTACTCAGAGGCAGTCACTCAAAAACTATGAGCACACATATGCAAGTGCACCATGCATTGGCATACTCGCATTCATGCACGTAGACTCGCTCGCACGCAGATTCATTCACAGTCAGACGCACTCGCGCTCAGATTCACCCGCGCTCAGTCTCCCTACGCACTCAGATCAATCGTTTCGTTCGCCTCGTGTACCACGCCACTCATTTCGGCACACCCCTAGCACGGTTCGTTGCCTCATTGGGATCACCACCGAAAAAGGGAATCACAATTGCGGTACTCACACCTGCATATGGTTGGGTCATTCGTCAGGCTAAGATAAAAATAGCAGAATACGAACAGTTTATCGGACCCAGCTCTGGCAGCAGAGCGAGTTCAGACATCTAGATAACTCCGACTAGCACTTCTGATGATTCCTCTCGTTCCTCTCGATTGCTGTGACGAACCGCTCTGTAGCTCATCTGAAGCTCGAGTGAAGTCCAGAAAACCATCACCAGCTCTTAAAACTTAGCAGAGTGCGAATAGTTTTTCGGACCCAGCGCTGGTCGCAGAGCGAGTTCGGGAATCTAGGTACTACAGATTAACGCTTCTGATAATTCCCTTTCGATGGCTGTGCCGAACAGCTATGTAGCTCACCTGCAGCTCAAGTTGAGTTCCGGAAAAAAAATCATCATCTCTGAATCAAATAGCAGGAGTACGAATAGGTTGTTGGTCCTCGCTCAGGTAGCAGACCGAGTTCGGACATCTAGATACTTGAGACTAGCGCGCCTGATGATTCTAGATAGATTAGGTGCGCCTGTCAGCTAT